ATTCTTTTATATATTTATATTCTTTTTATATTATTAGTTTTTCATTGTTTTTATATTTCTTTCTTCTATTATTTATCAAAACTATTTTCATTTATTCTTTTTATTTCTTTTTTATTAATTCTTGAGTATTGTATATTTCTTTATTATTTCATTTATATATTATCAAAATATATGTTTTATTGATTTTATGTTGAACAAAATATTAAATATAATCAATATTTTCATTCTTAATTATTCATTCTTTATTCTGAAATGTTGTGTATATTTATTATATTAAATGAATATGATGAATGAATATCAATATTATTGTTTATTTGATTTTAAAAAATAATAAATGAATATGAAATAATAAATGAAATAAAATAATGAAGACAATGAAATGATAATGAAATAGAATAATCTAATATTGAACAAATAAAATAAAGAATATATTGAATATATCATTATTGTTACTTTATTATTTGTTATTTCAATTATTAAATATTAATAAATTATTATTCATGAATATTTAAGTGAATATTATTTTACATTTTCATTTCATTTTATTTAATAAATGAAATAATAAAAAGAAAGATAAATAATAAAGAAATATGATGTATTTAATATATAATATAAATTATTATCAAATATAATAATATCAAATGATGAATTATTTTTATTTCAAAATATTTTGCATCAATAAAAATGTTGCTAAATATTTTGCATCATTAAATTTTGCACTTTTTTTATTTGTTTCAATAAAATTTGCATCCTTTATTTTTTTCTTTCTTTTCTTCTTTTATCATCTCTTTTCTTTTATTACACTTTATCTTCTTTCTTTTTATATTCTCTCCTTTCTACTTTTATTCATTCTTCATCTTCATCTACTTCTTACTTTCTTTTTATTCTTTTATATCATTCATTCTCTTCTTTTTCAATTATTTCATTTCTTTCTTAAATTGTTCATCTCTTTATTTCGTCATCATTCCAAATATCAAATGGTGTTTTTGAATCAATATAATAAATAAAAATTTGATTTGGTGATGATTGAACTATATCTACTGCATTTTTATATGTAAGTGTTCCATCAATATAATTTAATATATATACTCCATCAGTACTAACATATTCTTTAGTAGTGAATATCATATATCCATTACTATAATATTTACCATAATCATCTAATTTATCAATAGTAGATGAATTTTCTGAATCAATTCTATTTGATTTAAAGTGAATTTTTGTTTTCTTTGTTGAATCTGTATCATTATTTATCATAAACATAAATTGAAAGATATACATTTTATGATCTGTACTTGTATTTTTAAAAGTTTTTGATGAATCAGTCCCCCATGACATTAATGTTGATAAAGGAAATGTGTATGTAATATTCTTCAAATCTTTAATTCCAATTGTGTTAATTATATCTGCTTGTTTAATTGTTGTATTTCTTGATATTTCTGTGTTAATATAAGACGTTAAAGATGTCATTTGTAATAATGCTTCTTCATTAGAATAAAATGGTGAATATAATGAAGTATTAACAAGAGATGATAAAGATATTAATTGACTTGTTAAATTATTAATTTCATTCATATTTGTTGTATTTAATGTTGATAATTGCGATACATCATCTCGAATATCATTAATATATGTATTTGTTTCTTTCATTTTCTCTTTCATTTCATCTATTTCTTCATTTGTTGTTATATTCTTAACATTAATTGTTGTTATTCCATCTGTTGTTTTAATTGTATCAAGATAAAATGTGTTGTTGTTGAAATAACGTGTTGTTAAAATATTATTTTTATTTAAATATTTTGAACCAATTGCTTCCATTTAATAACGTAAATTAAGTTCTAAGATAAAATATTCATCCCAAAGTCCAAGTGGCATAATAATATTCCCTTTATAATCTTTAAACCATATTTCTATTGAAGTTATATTTTTATTAATATTGAAATGTTTTGGTGTCATATTTCCATATGTTGAAAAACATATCATTTGATCATTTTCTGGTGAATCATAATTAAATGATCCATGACAACTAACTCCAATATCTAATTGCCCATTCAAATTAAAATATACAAAATTCATTACTTCTATTGTTTTAGGATAATTTTCTGATGTAATAAATTCCCATGGTAATTTCACTTTCCATTTACCTGTTGTTTTGTTTGGAGATGCATTTTCTCTTGTTATAGTGAAATATCTTTGATTACTCATTAATATGTTGTTTTAAGATGAACTCAATATTCATCTAAACTAAAAATATTTATTAAATAATTATCATGTCAGTTGAAACTATTCAAAATCGTTC